AAGTCTTAATTTAAAACAGTTCCCATCACCTATCGATGGTATTCTAATTTACTGTGACACGACCAAGGCAATGCCGCGACCTTTCGTTCCCAAAAATATGCGAAAGTTGATATATAATAACTTTCATTCTTTGTCTCATCCTGGAGCAAAAGCTTCAACTAAACTAATCAATGCCAGATATATATGGCCGAATTTACAGAAGGATGTACACAAATGGGTTAGAGAGTGTTCAGCATGCCAACAATCAAAGATTAATCGTCACACAAATTCACCCATAGGTGTGTTCTCGCAACCAGATGAACGTTTTGCACATGTGCATATCGACTTGGTAGGTCCTTTACCCCGTTCAAATGGTTTTAATTATCTTTTTACATGCATAGATCGATTTACCAGATTCCCTATAGCCATCCCGATAGCGGACATCACAGCGGAAACAGTAGCCAAAGCTTTCATGCAGAACTGGGTAACCATTTTTGGTACACCCATAACAATAACGACGGATAGAGGAGCGCAATTCGAATCCGAACTATTTAATAACTTGGCTAAACTTCTAGGCTCTAATAGGATACGCTGCACTGCATATCATCCTCAGGCTAATGGGATGGTAGAACGTTTTCACCGTCAGCTAAAAACCGCCCTTATATCTCACTCAAACCCCAATCAGTGGACAGAATTCCTACCATTAGTTATGTTGGGAATAGGAACATCTGTCAAAACTGACGCACAATGTTCAGCTGCTGAACTGGTTTTTGGAACAACTCTGAGACTACCAGGTGAATTTATTAACCCTAATACTAACAGTCAAATACTCAATTTAGAAAATTACGTAGATCAACTACGGGACCATATGTCCAAAATTAAACCAATTAATACTCGCGAACAATCGCGCGCCGTATATGTACCTAAAGACCTAAGCAATTGCACGCACGTCTGGATAAGATGTGATAAAATAAAATCACCACTCAGTCCTCCATTTGAAGGTCCTTTCAAAGTCGTCTCAAGAAAATCTAAATATTTCGTGATAGAAAAACATGGAAACATCGACACAATAAGTATTGATAGGCTAAAGCTGGCTTATCTAGATCATGAACCACCATACGTATTGTTAGATCGTTTAACTGACAAATCCATTACGGAATCGAAATGTAAAGATGATAAATCTTTACAAATGACTAAAACGGTTCACTGGGCACATCCAATTAGTCAGTCAAGGATGTTGACAGTTTCGGCTGCAGGATAAAATCTAACCACGTAGCTAATCAGACCCTGCATCTACTTAAAAATAATTATTTTACCCCATTCCGCCTCACCTACAACTCCCCAGACCTTTTACCTTTAATATATAAGTATTATGTTAAATTTTTTTTTAAATACTGGACACATAAGCTAGGTATTCCGAAACGATGGCTGAGGATTTTAATCAAACTCATACAACTAACACTGGCAAATACAACGATATCAAAAAGCAACCCAGGCGAGTTTTATAATTTCTTTTTCTGGTTAATTAACTATGTTGGCTGTACTTCTTATATATCTATATACATTTTTCACGTAGACTGGCTATACATATATACCATATGAACTACTTCTAAAAGTTTTCGGTCGAAGATATGTTTAGTAGCTTGATACGATTAATACTACTATTAATAAGTGGTTTTTTAGACAAAACATTTGGGATTAAACCATGGCCAAGTACTTATTAAAGTTCTCATCAATTTTTTCATGTTTAGGAAACTTATGTAATGACTTAACCAGTTTTCCTGCAGCATGCTTTTTAGTGTGATCATATAACCCATCTTTATTGGCAATATTCAGATTTTTTTAAAAATTCTGACATTTAAGAATCAATAACCGTGGAGATATAGTACAGTGCGTTACTGTAAGGTTACTATGTTAGCCGCATTGATTCCGCATACCTAATTTTAAACACAACTTATAAAGGAACTCTTAAGTAATCATAACATTGAACTAACGATATGACTATCATAGTTATGTTAACTTCAAACCAATTATTATTAGTGGTCCTGACAAAACCCTGGAACTTAACACTAGCGTTATAAAAAAGACATGTTATGTCAGTAACTTATATATATATATATATATATATATATATATATATATACTTTTTCTCTCGGTTTAAGTATAACGTAAAATGGAAATTACAAAACTTGTAGTTTTTTTTTCTATAGTATTATTAGTAATCCAATATGGCATTTTGACATATCAATCAGTCCTCCTGTTATCTTTCTCCCATATCTGAGCAACTTATGGCCAACAAACATCGTATTGAAGGGGGTTTCGATGAACAAAAACGTATGACCCACACGCACTCGAACCTCTGCCCTCCTGAATGCTAGACCGCGTGCCTAGCCATTAGGCCACATCAGACCACGAGGGGGTGACTGCAATCTTTCCTTTTACCGATTAATCATTCATAATACTAATGAGTAATAGGACTTCAACACTTCTAAGGTGCAGACAAATTCGTTACTTTGATGAATTGACGAAATATTGCCTCAGTATATCATACATATTTAAATCAAACCAGAAAAGAGTATTTGACACAACTGTACTTGATCCTCATACTCTACACAATTTTCTCCCCTCTTTAACCGTATATTCTCTTCCGTTTTATGGAGTAAAATTATGCACCTGGTTATAAAAGGCGGTTGTCACAGTCCCAAGGTCACGCATTTGAACGGGTTTGACAATGAGTCCAACTTCTAGCAAGTTTACACTTTTACATATATACATTATAAAAAAGGATTTTATTTGTTTTCATACCTTTTCGTACACAAGATGGCTACACTATGTCTATTTTCTTCCAGAATACCAATCCGTTCTGGAGGCCAATCACTTACGTGGAACCGAACAATTATCAATTATATTTATGTATTTCCATTTTGTATCTTATTATTTTGATGCAGGCAGTGGAGCAGTTCTTTAGGTTTGATTGGTTTTCACCATTACCTTTGAAGTAGATTCTTCTTTACTTTTTACTTGAGGGCGACTCAAGAGGCAGGTGAGTAAACACCTGATAGCCGGTCTGAGCATGGAAAAATCGTACCTCACCAACATGGTGTTGGGTAACCCGCTCGCGGCACTTCCTCAGATATTCTTTTTCCACGGTCTCACACTCTTTCTCATGAAAGCACGCAGCAAACCGTCAGCTATAGTTGTAGAAGAAATCACATGCTACAAAATAAGATGACAAGCTAGTAAATGAAGAGACATCCATGGACTACCGTCGACAGCGTTAGTTGCCACTTATTGTAAGTCAAACATTGAGCGAGTTGATAATTTTCCCTTGAGATGAGAAATAGAACTAAGGTGTTTTTGAAAGATTGGTTAATCGAACCGACGTTCCTACGGAAGTCGATTCTAAGGGGAAGCTAATATAACAGCATAGGTCGGTTGGTTAAGAGTTGACCCCAAACAACCAAGCATATGTCAAAACAGTATTGTTCAAGTATTCATTCACTTCCTTATTTTGTATAAGCGTTATATTCCTTGTTATCTTATATTGAATGTTGAAAGCTTTTGTTTGTCTGAACAAATAATCCCACGCTCCACTGTGACTGCGCTAAGATCGAAATAAAGACTAATTCACTTTTTGTCTGACTTCTATCAATTTTGTAGAAGAAATCACATGCTACAAAATAAGATGACAAGCTATATTGAATGTTGAAAGCTTTTGTTTGTCTGAACAAATAATCCCACGCTCCACTGTGACTGCGCTAAGATCGAAATAAAGACTAATTCACTTTTTGTCTGACTTCTATCAATAACACGAGGGTTACCTATAGGCACGAAAAATCAACATACAAGTGGATAAGAGAAAATAAATATTTTGACTTCAAGTTCATTCAGTTATAATACTCATGCAAGCAAATATGTATGTAACTCTAATCCGTGACATAGTGACAAATTATCAAATCTATCAACCACTAGATTCCATTTAGATTTAAGGTGATCCTTCAGCCGGATTTATAGGCAAAAATTTAATGCAAATCGGCATGTAATGACAATAGCGTGTATGCCTTCCGAAAATGCTTGAGTTCTACAATATTTTAAATAAAGGGTTTGATAGAATGTTGCTAATAACTTTTCATATTCGCAAAACCGATAACGCGTGCGTCTTTCTCAAATTTTAGACTTATAAAATGATATTTATCTACCTTAATGCTTCACTCATCGTGTGTAGATTGGGATATTTTATTAAAAGCTACATAGTCTCTCTGAGTGAACTTCTGAGTGTTAATTGTTTGCTCTGTTTGCATCAATTATTTTGTTGCGGTAGTGATGAAACTGTATGGTAAGCATTATGTTGCATTTACTGCTTACATGCCGTGAGTCTATTTTTGCAATATTCTCTGTCACATGTTTACAAATTTTTTAGCACCTCAAATAGTCTGAGCAAAAACACAAGAAAGATGTGTGTTATGAATTCTAAAACAAGTAAATTTTTTCAACAGTGATCTCATAGTTTTTATTTCAATGCTTTGTATGAATTTCAGTACCATGGAGAAATTTCCTTGTATTTAACCATCAACACGAATAGCAATAAATCGGAATGATTTTAATTAAATGCTATTTCATAAAAAACATGCACTTTCAACCTATTTCAAAAGTTTATTTGTAACTCAGAGTTTGGTGCCTAATTTGATAGCTCTAAACCACATTATTCAAGAAAACTAAGGACAAATTCTGACGCGATCTCGTTGATCTCTCACTAGGAACCGGTAATATCCTTTTTTCTACTACCCTTTTGGAATATTTAATTACTTCTAATTATACGTACTACATCATCACCTGGCTAGTAGACAACCGCAGTAGCAAATCTGATAACCATACTAAGTTTGGACCACTGAGTGATGAATATAGTTGTCTCAGTCAACTGCTCTCTTCCATGTTGCTTCAACTGCAACAGAGGCACACATATTTATTCGCAAACACAGGACTTATGGATAAGTAAGTAGAGCCAGGTGAATTTCCTTTTTAGTACAGTAAAGTATAACGTTGCAACTTCAAGTTTCTCTGTGCTTTTATTCTTTTGAATCATTTATTCACTTACCCCTATTCTATCTCCCCTTCGAAACTTCTGTTCTGCTGACTTTCTAGGATTTAACTCTTTAGTCAATTGCATAACATCCAAAGTAACATCGTTGCCACCCGTGCGTTCACTACAAATGCGGAGACGATTATTAGAGACAGATATTCTAATTCGTAGTCCATTAATAATACGAAAATTTCCGTTTCGAGCAACAGATCACAAAACTACATCAGATAAATTATCTCAGAGTCATGTATGCGACATGGGTCACTGAACTTAATTGCTAACGCCGAATGTCCAACTAAGTGATCAGGACTACACCCCTACATATGCTCTTTCTCTTAGTAAGTTTAGTAGGCAAAAGTGATGTTGAGGAAACAAGGATATCAAACTGCCTGTGATACTGATGACTGTGGAGGGACAATGCAATTTGATAATTGTATTGCGTGCTCATCGCTCGTCAAAATGAAAGACTCATCATCTGAATGTAATTTTTTGTGACTATGTTCACTGTTTCTGTGACACAACAATATCTAAGCAGCACTAGGAGTTTATGTTGAGTCCACCCTGTCAGCGCTACTGGCACATTTGCCAAAAGCAGAGAAAAAATAAGTTGACAGAACTTATAAAACCCTTTGGAAGCATTCGTATCAATCCCAATCGTCAAACACTAGCTGCACTGAATATTTGATTACGACAGTTGCAACCCGAGTTCATACATCAGTGAAATTGTTGAGTTTGCTAATAATCAAGCATCTATTAACAGTGAAGAGCATTTGGTGATCTTTAGAAAGTGAAATGGCAAACCTGTAGCTTCCGAGGCGCTAAAAATAAAAGAAGTTTTCTAGATAAAACTCTTTGGTTTTGTATAATGTTCCAATGTTGAAAAGCAGCTTATTAGAAACTACGGAAGTTTTTTATAGTGAATAGCGAGACAAATAACGTATAATGCTGAAAATGCATCACTTCGACCTAGCAATGCAGCTATAATAAAAGCCGAAACTTAGTAAAAGGTAAATCCCCTGAACTAAAGGTAAACGTAGACTAAGAACACGTTGCAGGAATAATTTTACTGACATCTCAAAGACCATCAGTTAAGCGATTCCCTCAAATCTGAGTTAGATACAACAAACCCTTGGCCGTGAGATGTGCCGCTAGAAAATCTGCAAACACGGAGTGCCTGAGCTAGTAAGTGTTAATCGTAATGAAACCCACTGCATACAATATGCAGTAATGGCGTTGACTATCGCATAGTATGAGGTCGTACATTATTGCGATAATTAGCGTGTACAAGCTGTTTCATCTGTTACAGCCTACGATCATTACTTTGCATCTGATGGCTGTAGATTTCAGAATCGATGGGACTTGGTCGCGGCTCTCAAGGTCCGGTACAGGTTGAAAACCACCTTTCCGTCAAATTGGATGCCGTAAAATTCGGTCTAGATCAGCGACAACAGTAGAAAAACCAATCAAATATCCTTTGGTTTGTTAACTTTGATAAGCAGTCGACCGTACAGAACGCAGGGACCACGGTATCGCTAATGAAACCCACCATGAAGGCGAAAAACCTAAAGAGGATATATTGCACGGAACTAGCCAACACAATTTTAACAACAATCTGTCCAATTACTGGGAGACTGCCGCTGCTATAGAGAGACACCAGGTGGTGAGGCATATCAACAAGTACCCCTATTGCAACGTTAGAGGACTAAGGAGTAGATTAGGAGAAATCAGATGCACTTGCTCTCAGTTAGATCTAAAGATCATAGTCCTGATTAAATTATGGTTATTGATCAACGTTACAAATGAAATGAGCCTGTAAGACATGACACTATTCAGATACAATTTAATGCACAAACAGGAGATGGAGTGGTGATATACATTGACAGTCACTTCAAAGCTGTAACACCACACAATACCAAGCTAACCATAACAAAAAAATCATGCTGGTGTTGCTTCAGTCCTAACGACACAAAGCAATTGACTGGAGGAATATATCGTCCCCCTCAAAGGTCCTAACACCCAAAAAAATAAGATTATACAGGGGATATTAAAGATAATATACCTTGAGTTCAGTCCATTACTGCTGTCTAAAGACTTCAATACTCCATCTTCAAATCTTGGCAGGCAGGATACAACCATTACAGGAGGATTCCCCAAGCGGATTACCGCAACCATTAGAAGCTCAAAAGTAAATAAGAATATGAATGCCGTCGCGTGATTGTAAAGAAACGGAAAACCTTTGAACTTGGATTGTTTTTTATGACAGGTGATCAGCTTTTAGGGCCAGCGAAATGTTACTAAGCCCTAGCTAAATCATCTGGCAGTTGGGTTAGTGAATGTTGAACATTTCATCAATCCCCGTCAAGGTCGAGGAAAAACAACTAGCATAAATTAATCTTATGTCATGGACTAGTTTATCTGGTGGTGTTCATTATTTCATTGTACCTACTGTAAATAATATATTTCTGTAATACCATCCTTCTTGTTATACAGTCTTTGAAGCGGCCAATGTAGAATCCAAACTGCGGTTTGGATTGATGAATAGCCGTCTAGGTACGTTAGACACGCGCCCTTGCCCGTCAAAATCAAAACAAGTAATCGGGTAAATAGCGGTTCTATAATTCATCATAAGTTTAAATGTAAATCGTTACCTAAACAAATATTACCACCCGGCTACTCAACCAATAATTGTTCAATCAATCAAATCTAAACTACATAAAATAAAGTTGATAAAAGATGTGGGAAAATTACCAGTCACAACAAATAAACTCTATTCTATCCTGACTGGATAGATCACACACAAAAGGAGGAGCAAATCAATATGGCTGCCGCCAAGAACAAGTGTCAAGTAAAACAACATGGATACAGTTCGGGAGGAAGCACAAAAACTTATTGAAGGTGTAATAAAAAATAAAAACTATGATAAAATACAAATATTAACAATCCAAACGTAATCAAAAAACTAACAATATACAAATAAAGGAATCAATAGGAACAAAGTGCAAGTATATACATGGAGGGATTTTCACAAACACACGAGGCATTCAAAATAGATCTTACACCGGCCCCCAAAATCCCTCCATATCACACAAGCTACCTTGATGCCTATGGTCATGGTTCATTATGTAGCATATGACACTAGAGGAACGAGTAGGACTTACAGCAGTACGCCTATTCGACCTACTTACATTGACATGGGAGAAATTAATTCGACCCTTCAAGGAGACATAATCTACTATATCTCTTCTGACTAATCCGCCGTTCGTACGAACAACTACCGTTCTAACTCTTCCGTCGTCATCTATTTCACAATCTTCAACTACTCCTAAGGGCCACTTTCCACGGGTCGATATGTCAGAAGCCACAATTACTACATCTCCTTTCTGAAAATTACGGTGTTCAACTAACCATTTCTGACGTTTTTGTAGGGACGGCAAATACTCTCTCAACCATCTTTTCCAAAACACATTAGCAAGATGATTAACCTGTTTCCAACGTTTGTCGTATTTATCTCTGATGCTGCCTTCTTCGACTATTCCATCACATTCTCTCAATAATAACAGACTATTCGGCGACAAGGCTAGTTTATCGTTAGCATCTTGGACGACCGCAGTTAAGGGACGATCGTTCAATATCCTTTCAATTTCAATCAAATAAGTGCCTAAGGCCTCATCGGTTAAAGTCTGCTCTCTAGTTATCAACAATAACAGTCGGCGTACAGACCTAATCATTCTTTCCCAGACTCCACCCCTGTGGCTGGAGGAGGGGGGGTTAAAATGCCGCTGAATCTGCCTCGCTGACAGTTCTTTGTCTATTTTCTGCTGATTCAACTGCTGCACGAATTTTCTTAGTTCAGAGACTGCACCCACGAAATTTGACTCATTGTCACTGTAAATTTCTGCAGGTTTCCCTCTTCTTCCAATAAAACGTAGCAAGGCCATTATAAACGAATCAGTATTCAAACTGTGTGTCAGTTCAATATGTACTGCTCGGGTTTGCAAGCAAGTAAATATACATCCATACCTTTTTTCTAATGATCTTCCTCTCTTGACAACAAGTGGTCCAAAGTAATCTACTCCCACGACTGAGAAGCTATACCATCCTGGTTGAAATCTACAAGCTGGAAGCGGCGCCATCAACTGTTGCCCTGTATTCATCGTAAACCGCCGGCATGTCACGCACTTACCTATCACTCTCTTAACCGTGCTGGTTCCTTTTATTATCCAATACCTTTTTCGAATCATAGCCAGTACTTGTGACGTTCCTGTGTGCCCCTGTTCCTTATGATAATGTCTAACGATCATTTCTGTCACTAAGTGTCGACTGGGCAGTATTATTGGATGTTTAAAGGCATTTGGGACATCCGAGTAGCTTAGTCGACCTCCAACGCAGAGTAATCCATCCAGCATTATCGGTGATAAACCCTTAAGATCATTGTGACTAAATACTTTACCACTGTTTTTAAATCCGTTAAGTATTTCTCCATACACTTCCTTCTGAACCATCAATAAAATTTTACGCTTGGCGATGTCAAGCTCCTTAACCTTTAAACCTCCCAGGTGAATGGATCCTTCATGACTCGGTGAACGAAGTACTATCAGGAAATCTATGAACCTTCTAAACCAGGCTACGGCTCTGACTAATTTCAACCACTCAGAATAATAAGAAAGAATAGGTGACATGTTGGACTTTATACTATTCAAATTAACCACAGCCATTTTCCTAAACTCAATATTGTCAGGCATAAGTTCCGGACAGTCAGTAATTTTCATACAAAAATCATCTTGTAGTAATGTAGGACATTTAAACCAAAACTCAAGGTCTGACATTTTTTGTATACCTCTTGAGGTCCAATCAGCTGGATTCTGTGACAACTTTACATAACTCCATTGTTCAATTTTCGTATACTGGTGCACAACGGCGAGGCGGTTGGCTATATAGGTGCTATAGCGGTTCTCGATATTCCTGATGTAGTACAACACTACCGTGGAATCTGTATAAAAGTTTACTTTACAGAAAAAATTAGGCAGGCTTCTCTGTAAGACTTCACTAAGCCTCACACTTAACACTGCTGCCGCCATCTCAAGCCTCGGTATAGTGACCTGTTTGATAGGTGCTACCCTAGACTTGCTGTACAACAAAATACAATAGGGTCGTTCCTTCAAATAGCTGACTCGTGCGTACGCGACTGCTCCATAACCGATCTCTGACGCGTCACTGAACAAGTGCAATTCTACTTCAGCATCGGGTTCGTCGATTCTCTTCTTGATACCCCGAGCTACCGTAACATGACCTATTTGACGCATAAATTTTACCCAATTTGGCCACGCGGACTTGTATGGCTCGTTGAGAGGCTGATCCCAGCCTATTTGGGACTTACATAATTTTTGCAAGAGGACCTTGGCAGGAAGACAGACTGGAGCAATTAAACCCAAAGGATCGAACAGAGAAGAAACTATAAATAGAATCCCTTTCATAGTCAGAGGCCTTTCAATATCATTTGTATACTTGATATACAGAATGTCATCTTTCAACAATCTACGCTTCAAACTCTGTAGTCTACTGTTTGCCACTTCATAATTCCCCCCTCCCATATTTGGGTGCACTTTCCATGGTATAGGGACTCCAAAATGACCATTTAGGAAGCGTGTGCCACCTTCCACAATCCTTATAGCCGTCTTGTCGTCTACTGATAATGATTTATTATTTGAATAAGCGTCGGAAAACTCTGAGTCATAAAACTTACGTATCTCGTTCTCTAATGTCTGTATCTTACTGGTATGATTAACAATTCTTTTCCTATATTCCGGATACGATGCAGGTCCGAAGACCGTCCACCCCAGCAACGTCTTTACAGCGTACGGGTTTTTTCTTCCACCCAACCGCTGATCTAACACCCAGTGTGCTTCGGGCACGTCGCAACCAATCAACAGCAGAACTTCTTCAGAGTCTAAGTGATCTATTGGTACATCCCTTAAATGTGGCCACTTAACTAGGTTGTTCACTGCCGACCTTGTTGGCTTATGACCCGGTACACTTGCCGCAATCAGAGCTCCTTCGATCGTCACATGTTCGGACCGATCTAAAGAATATACCTCGAAAGGAGTTCTTGTGGCCGTCATCGTCCTATTACCACTCACAGTCCCTACTACCACTGACGCTCGGTCTTCCTTCAGTCCGAGATGCCTCAAACAGCTCGATTTTATCAACGTCACATCAGACCCGTTATCCAACAAGGCATAACCCACCATTTCGGCATTTCCCGCCACCAGCCGTACGGGAATCATTCCTAAGCACACTTGGCTACTTAGAGATTTAGTAAATCCACAGCAATTCTGGGTTTCAGACTTATTTACATCGTTGCTTGCCGTGTTAGTGTGCAGCAGAGCGTGATGTTTCTTCTCACAACTGTCAACATTACAGAGCCTTGACATCTTGCATTCATTGACCTTATGTCCTTGTCGAAGACAAACAAAACAGATACCCTTGCTTTTAGCGTGGGACCATCGTTCTTGAACTGTAAGCGCTAAAAACTGTGGACACTTATAAATAGCATGGTCGTAGGAACACATACTGCATTTAGTTTTCGCTGTCGAACTATTCCCCTGCTCTGATTGCACGTGACAATTCGTCTTTACGTTTGGTCTTTTTCTTGAACGATTCGCTAACCGTCCAAATCTACTACAAGCTACTCTCGCACGCGAAGCGATAAACTGAGTGAGTTCGTGAAACGTCGGCTCTCTGTCATCTTCTGTCAATTTATCCACCCAGTCCGCCCATTGGGCTTGCATAGGTTGAGGCAAGAGTCTCACTATTCTTTCCAAAGTAACTAAAGAATTTAGATCAGAGGTATAATTCATCTGTTCCAAGACCATAGCACAGTTTTCCATTTTAATAGCCAAGTTTGATAATTCCTCTGGGTCAGTATAGTCAAAATTTACAGCATTGAATAAGTCTTCTAATGTTTCCCGAGCGATTACATGAGACTGTCCGAACAAACGTTTTAAGATTTCCCTTGCTCTCTTGTAACCAGAAGATGCTTCCATCATCACACAACCCTCAATAGCTGCTTTCGCCTTGCCCTTACAGTAGTGAATTAAATAGAGCAAACGTTGGCTATCATCAGTGACTCTTGATGCTACATAGGTCTCGAATTGCCTTATAAACTTCCAATACCCTCTTGCCTGACCATCGAAATAACTCAATTCAACCTTTGGTAGTTCTAGACCAACAACAGGCGTTATGGGCAAAACGCTCTTTCCTGTAAATTCATGCCCTTGCTTCTCCTTTAAACTAAGATTTTTTACGTCATCTGTCATCGAATTAAGACTAGAGTCACTTCCATGATAATCAACCCTATTCGAGTCTGAACCATGACACTTAAGGACATCAAAAGGTACTTGCTTGATAATAAGGGATTCTTCATTAACATCAACGAACTTTGAGTTTGATTTCCTTCGACGATTAGTTGGCATCATAAGCGAAATGACCAGATATTTCCAGAAACGATAATCGGAATCCGCGAACGATTGCCAAACGACTTTGACCAATTAATATTTGTTTAGAACTGTAGAATCCAAACTGCGGTTTGGATTGATGAATAGCCGTCTAGGTACGTTAGACACGCGCCCTTGCCCGTCAAAATCAAAACAAGTAATCGGGTAAATAGCGGTTCTATAATTCATCATAAGTTTAAATGTAAATCGTTACCTAAACAAATATTACCACCCGGCTACTCAACCAATAATTGTTCAATCAATCAAATCTAAACTACATAAAATAAAGTTGATAAAAGATGTGGGAAAATTACCAGTCACAACAAATAAACTCTATTCTATCCTGACTGGATAGATCACACACAAAAGGAGGAGCAAATCAATATGGCTGCCGCCAAGAACAAGTGTCAAGTAAAACAACATGGATACAGTTCGGGAGGAAGCACAAAAACTTATTGAAGGTGTAATAAAAAATAAAAACTATGATAAAATACAAATATTAACAATCCAAACGTAATCAAAAAACTAACAATATACAAATAAAGGAATCAATAGGAACAAAGTGCAAGTATATACATGGAGGGATTTTCACAAACACACGAGGCATTCAAAATAGATCTTACAGCCAAAGTGCCTTGATACGACTTAGGGGTAATCCATGCTGAGTTCTGACCGTGAGGTGTGACTTCAGAGTTGTCAGCCACACAGTTCGCGTCTAACTCGAGTGAGCTCCTAACCATTTGATACAGACCATCTACGTTGGTGATCTACAAGCTTTTAATCGATGATATATATGTCCAATCACCAGTAGAGAGTAATGGCCATGTCACAGTTATATTTGATGTGGTCATGAAAGAAATACTGAGGAGGTACAAGAATGTTATCTACCCTAGCTACGATACTGCCGACTGTACGACAATGAGGAGGCATCTTCAATACCCTCTATCTGTAGAGGCTAACAATGGATGACCACTGGAAGGTAGTTAGGAAAATCATTCAGAATTCTACCATATAGAGCAAAGATCCTGGGTTCAGAGAGGCATGGAACGCTTGCCACAGGCTTGATGTAGGGCCTGACATTATCAAAACGTCTCCTCGAAACGTTATGTTCACAGCCATAACATGGCAATGTGAAACGGATGCAATTATAGTCAGCAGCGATAAGGGATGTTTTCAGGTTAAGGAAGCAGCCAAAATGCAAGCTGACCCCAAAATATCTCTACATATTGATGATCAGAATAAAGCCCTCAAACCAGAGGATTTTACCAATAAATAGCCAAATGTTAATGATCTTACTAACTTAGGGATCGCGGAGATCTTTAATGCCAACTTCATAGACAAGCTAAACTAAGAGTTTCCAATAGCAGAACATCTATCAGCTCTACTTCTAATTAAGAATTTGGGAGTCATCTAACTAACCTTTGGGTTAGTATTATGGAGACTAAATCTCTGCACTCGAAGAAGTCAAAAAGATGTGATAACATTCAACCTATGATCCTGAACTTGTTCAAAATTTCTTCAGCACTCTGTTATGTAGTCTCTTTTTTCATTTACTGGTTTTACGCCAACTCCAAGCGAATGGAAGACCACTCTTCTCAATATTCATAGGCAAGGATAAAAAACTTTCGGCATGTAATAGACCAGTCGCGTTACTCGCAATATTCATGAAAGCAGTGAAAAGATTGATCAATGGTCAAATGAAGGAAAACATGAAAAAGAACAGTATCTTCCATGAAACCCAACATGGGTTCAAAAAATGCAAGTCTCTTGCGTCCAATCTACTCGTAGTATGAGATCGTTGGACGATTTTCTGAAAAAAAAAGATACCGGTTAATATAATATTGCTCGATTTCGCAAAAGCCTTTAACACTACCACACATAAACCCTGTGGCAGAGTTTGAGATCATGGGTTCTACTGACCCACTTTTTTCCTGGCTCATAAACTACCTAGAGAACGATATGTTTTACACCAAGGTGAATAGAGTGCACACAAGATGGAAAGCCTTAGTATCAGAAGCTTCACAAGGAACAATCTTAGGTCACCCCACTTCTTCACTTTTATGAGCAACATTTTAGATAATATTATCTCACCAGCACTGATCTGTCCATTCAACACAAAGGTCTGGAGGCCCATAAAAAGCTACCTTTTAATAATGAGGAAATGGGTATTAGACGATGGATTAAAACTTAACCTGTCGAAATGTCAAGTCATGAGCATTCTGCCTCACTTGACGTGAAGCAATTACAACAATAACGATTGTCTATTCAGAGCGTGATCTTGGGCTTATAACTAAAGAGATCTTGGACATCAGCCGAAGCAACATGGAAGATGCATCTAAGGCAAACACATCTTGCCTTTTTGCTCAAAGACGACTTGACGCAATAAACTCAGAATTGTTCCAAACACCGTTTGGAATATACAATCAACATGATAATAATCACGGTATTATAACTTGTAATGTTATTTAATGCTCTGCCACTTCCTAGTTAATTAACTATGTTTTGAGCACACGAATGAAACGATTGTCAACTGAAGCTGCAATAATGACAAAATGAATACTTATCTTCAAGCTGTGATAGTGATGAAGCCATTAAATTAAAACTTCATAAAATACAAAACACAAAACGATTATAAACAATAACGCGAAACAAACTGACTTATCCTGTCGTTAACTAAAAGTTGATCAGCATTCGTTGCCTCAGTATGGCCATAATGACGCGGCTTAGTAAATAACAGGTGAAATACATCCAGCATAAAGATCAAATTTAAATCAAGAGTTTCAAAATGGGACGATTCAATATTTTTCAAATTGAATTAGATGTTTGTAGTTGCTTCGATGTCTGACTTCAGTGCTTCAGCTGGTATGTTGTCCGGACCCGCTGCTTTCCCGTTCTTGATTTGTCTGACGGCCATTCTGGTTTCTTCCTTCGTTGGTGTGTCGACGTCTATGGGAAGATCTGTGTGTGCCGCTTCGATGTCCGGTGGATTCATTGGAGCCGGCCTATTCAGGAGTTCCTCGAAGTATTCTACCCATCTGTTCCGCTGTTGTTGAATTTCGCTGATTGGCTTGCCTTCTTTGTCTTTGACCGGTCTTTCTGGTTTACTGTATTTCCCTGATAGTTTCTTCGTTGTATCGTAAAGCTGTTTCATATTTCCTTCTCTAGCACCTTTTTCTGCCGTCGTTGCTAGTTCTTCCACGTATTTCTTTTTGTCGGCTCTAATGCTCCTCTTCACTTGTTTGTTTGCTTCTATGTATTCAGCTTGTGCTTGGGCTTTCTCTGTTCGTGTTCGGCTGTTGTTAATTGCTGCCTTCTTGTTCTTCCTTTCTTTGATCTTGTCCAGTGTTTCTGTAGTGATCCATTCCTTATGATGGTGTTTCTTTAGACCCAGAACCTCTTGACACGTTGAAGTTAATGCTTCCTTGATGCCTTTCAAGTTGTTCTCCATACTAGTTTCTTCTTCTTTCAGTAGATCTTGTAAGGCTTGAAACCTGTTGTTGAGAGCTATCTTGAATTCATTGAGTTTGTCAGTATCTCAAAGGAAGGCTGTATTGAACCTTTGTAGTGCTGTTTGTCAACTTGTCCAGTTCTTTTTTAGCTTCAGTTTTAAATCGGCCACAACTAGGTGGTGATCTGAAGCTACGTCAGCGCCTCTCCTGGTTTTCACATCTTCCATTGTCCTTCTGAATTTTTTGTTGATGCAAATATGATCTATTTGGTTCTCTGTAGTGTGGTCCGGTGAGATCCATGTAGCCTTGTGTATACGCTTGTGTGGAAATATTGTGCCTCCTATGACCAATTTGTTGAATGCACATAGATTTGCAAATCTTTCTCCATTTTCGTTTCTTTCTCCCAGTCCATGTCGTCCCATAATATCTTCATATCCAGTGTTGTCTATTCCGACTTTGGCATTTAGATCTCCCATCAGAATAGTTAGGTCCATTCTTGGGCATTTCTTAATGACTGACTGCAGCCGCTCGTAGAACTGATCTTTAATGTCGTCGTTGCTATCATTTGTGGGTGCATAACATTGGATAATATTCATTAAGATCCCCTCCTTCTTTGTTTTGAATGATGCTTTGATGATTCTGGATCCGTGAGATTCCCATCCTACAAGTGCATTTCGTGCTACTTTGGACAGCATAAGAGCGACTCCCTGAGTGTGTGGAGCATTGTCCTCTTCGTGACCGGAGTATAGCAGCATCTCTCCCGTAGCTAGCCTTTTCTGTCCAGCTTGAGTCTAGTGGGTTTCGCTGATTCCCAGTACTGTTAATTTGTATCTCCTCATTTCCATTGCTATTTGACTGGTCTTCCCGGTTTCCCACATTGTTCGAACGTTCCATGTACCTATAAAAATTTTTGCTCTGGTTGTTAGAAGGGGCATCGGCCTCGTGGCTTCCGAAGAAACTCGGCTTTCACCATGAAGCGTCATAATTCTTCTAAATGAAGACCTTCTAACTCCCAGGGCAGAGTTTAAATGGTTTGAATTATTTTTTCTGGTAAGCGTTTTTTTAGCGAGTTAGTTTTCTACGGGATGGGGACGCAAACCCCATGCCCAACCCTCCTCCTTTACCCGGACTTGTGACCGGCAGTAACCCTATGAGAGCTATAGGCGGGGTTAACCGTGTTATACTGCCTGGAACATATTATTATTATTAATATTAATATTATTATTATTATTATTCACAAACACCTAAGGGGTACATAAGTGTTGTGAAGAAATCATTTCGGGTTTCTTCAGAAAATGCAATAATACACAATTTTCAATAATGTTAGCATTATACTTGCCATATTTAAAAAATTTAGAATAATAATAGTAGAATATTATTAATAATAAATCGGGTCTTTGTAATTGAGAAGAATATTGAATCGAGTTTAAAGAAGGAAATGGAGAAAATATGGGAATAGAAATAAAGGAGACGTGAAATACGCAAACAGTCTAATAAGCGTGTTTATGAACACAGGACAAGAATAAACGACTATGTGTGTATCGTTAAATTAGTAACAAAAAATAATTAGGAAAAAATAACTTATAATTGCAGTAAGATATGACATTAGAATAAATGTTTGTGCAGTTATAGTTTAGAGTGATGCTATGAAATTCACAATTAAGTGAAAAGGATAATAAAATATCACTATGTATGAGTCATATATGCATAGTGAAGATAAAACGAACCTGAGAAGTTTATTTAAGTGTAACACAAGTTATTGTTTTAATTACAAACTTCTTAATAATAATTGTGTAATGAATATCAACCTCAGAAGAAAACCAGCAATTAAAAAATCCTTTAAAACACTCGGATGAATACATTTAGATTTATGTGATAGTATACAGAGTGAAACCGGATATTAGTATAAATATTTGTGCAATAATAATTAAGATTGATGCTATGAAGGTCAGAATTGATTTC